GAAAGTTTCTCCTTTTACATTTAGTAATATATACAGGAGAAGAGGTTACTAGCCCCTTGCTCCCGGCATTTTAGTCGCCTCTTACAACACGCATGGCTTACGGAGGAAGAATTCTGTTCCACTTCCCCATGGAGATAAGAGGAAATAAACAAGAATAAGAACTAGAAAGAAAATAGAAGAAAACCCAGAGGGGTGTGTATATATGTGCTTGTACATGTATGTGTAGTGTGACCTAAGTGTAAGTAGAAGTAGCAAGACGTACCTGAAATCTTGCATGTTCATGAGACAGAAAAAAGGACACCAGCAATCCTACCATCATGTAAAACAATTACAGGCTTTCGTTTTACACTCACTTGGCAGGACGGTAGTACCTCCCTGGGCGGTTGCTGTCTACCAACCTACTACCTAGGATATATATATATATATATATATATATATATATATATATATATATATATATATACATAATTTTTTTTTTAACAAGTCGGCCGTCTCCCACCGAGGCAGGGTGACCCAAAAACACTTTCACCTCACATTCAACACTTTCACCTCACTCACACATAATCACTGTTTTTGCAGAGGTGCTCAGAATACAACAGTTTAGAAGTATATATTTATAAAAATACACAATATAACCCCCCAAACTGCCAATATCCCAAACCCCTCCTTTAAAGTGCAGGCACTGTACTTCCCACTTCCAGGACTCAAGTACGGCTATATAAAAATAACCGGTTTCCCTGAATCCCTTCACTAAATATTTACCCTGCTCACACTCCAACACATAGTCGGGTCCCAAATACCATTCGTCTACATTCACTCCTATCGAACACACTCATGCACGCCTGCTGGAAGTCCAAGCCCCTCGCCCACAAAACGTCCCTTACCCCTTCCTTTCAACCTTTTCAAGGACGACCCCTACCCCGCCTTCCGTCCCCTACAGATTTATACGCTCTCCATGTCATTCTACTTTGATCCATTCTCTCTAAACGACCAAACAACCTCAACAACACCTCTTCAGCCCTCTGACTAATACTTTTATTAACTCCACACCTTCTCCTAATTTCCACACTGCGAATTTTCTGCATAATATTTACACCACACATTGCCCTTAGACAGGACATCTCCACTGCCTCCAACCGCCTCCTCGCTGCTGCATTCACAACCCAAGCTTCACACCCATATAAGAGTGTTGGTACTACTATACTTTCATACATTCCCTTCTTTGCCTCCATAGATAACGCTTTTTGTCTCCACATATACCTCAATGCACCACTCACCTTTTTTCCCTCATCAATTCTATGATTAACCTCACCCTTCATAAATACATCCGCCGACATGTCAACTCCCAAGTATCTGAAAACATTCACTTCTTCCATACTACTCCTCCCCAATTTGATATCCAATTTTTCTTTATCTAAATCATTTGATACCCTCATCACCTTACTCTTTTCTATGTTCACTTTCAACTTTCTACCTCTACACACACTCCCAAACTCATCCACTAACCTTTGCCATTTTTCTTTAAAATCTCCCATAAGCACAGTATCAGCAGCAAAAAAGCAACTGTGTCAATTCCCATTTTGTATTTGATTCCTCATAATTTAATCCCACCCCTCTCCCGAACACCCTAGCATTTACTTCTTTTACAACCCCATCTATAAAAATATTAAACCACCATGGTGACATTACATATCCCTGTCTAAGACCTACTTTTACTGGGAAGTAGTCTCCCTCTCTTCTACACACCCTAACCTGAGCCTCACTATCTTCATAAAAACTCTTTATAGCATTTAGTAACTTACCACCTATTCCATATACATACTTGCAACATCTGCCACATTGCTCCCCTATCTACTCTATCATATGCCTTTTCTAAATCCATAAATGCAATAAAAGCTTCACTACCTTTATCTAAATACTGTTCACATTTATGCTTCAATGTAAACACTTGATCTACACATCCCCTACCCACTCTGAAACCTCCTTGCTCATCCACAATCCTACATTCTGTCTTACCTCTAATTCTTTCAATTATAACCCTACCGTACACTTTTCCCGGTATACTAAGTAAACTTATTCCTCTATAAATTTTACAATCTCTTTTGTCCCCCTTCCCTTTATATAAAGGGACTATACATCGTCTCTGCCAATCCCTAGGTACCTTCCCCTCTTTCATACATTTATTAAACAAAAATACCAACCACTCCAACACTATCCCCCCCCCCCCTGCTTTTAACATTTCTGTCATGATCCCGTCAGTTCCAGCTGCTTTACCCCCTTTCATTCTACATAATGCCTCACGCACCTCCCCCATACTCGCATCCTGTTCTTCTTCACTCCTAAAAGATGGTATACCTCCCTGGCCAATTCATGAAATTACTGCTTCCCTTTCTTCATTGATATTTAAAAGTTCCTCAAAATATTCTCGCCATCTACCCAAAAGCTCCATCTCCCCATCTACTAACTCCTCTACTCTGTTTTTAACTAACAAATCCATTCGTTCTCTAGGCTTTCTTAACTTGTTTAACTCCAAATTTTTTTCTTATTTTCATTAAAATTTCTTGACAGTGCCTCTTCCACTCTATCATCTGCTCACCTTTTGCACTCTCTCACCACTCTCTTCACCTAACTTCTCTTTTATCACACCCTTTACTTCATCACTCTACCAATCACTCCTCTTTCCTCCTGCACCCACCCTCCTATAACCACAAACTTCTGCCCCACATTCTAATACTGCATTTTTAAAACTATTCCAACCCTCTTTAACCCCCCCACTACTCATACTTGCACCAGTGCACCTTTCAGCCAATAGTTGCTTGACTCACAAAATCGTAATGACACGATTGCAAACAAACCATACCCCGGCCGGGATTGAACCCACGGTCAGAGAGTCTCAAAACTCCAGCCCGTCGCGTTAGCCACTAGTTGCTTGTATCTCACCTGAACTTCCTCCTCCCTTAGTTTATACACTTTCACCTCCCTCTTGCTTGTTGTTGCCATTTTCCTCTTTTCCCATCTACCTCTTACTCTAACTGTAGCTACAACTAAATAATGATCCGATATATCAGTCGCCCACCTATAAACGTGTACATCCTGGAGCCTACCCATCAACCTTTTATCCACCAATACATAATCTAACAAACTACTTTCATTATGTGCTATATCATACCTTGTATATTTATTTATCCTCTTCTTCATAAAATATGTATTACTTATTACCAAACCTCTTTCTACACAGCTCAATTAAAGGCTCCCCATTTTCATTTACCCCTGGCACCTTAAACTTACCTACTACTCCCTCCACAACATTTTTGCCCACTTTAGCATTGAAATCCCCAACCACCATTACTCCCACACTTGGTTCAAAACTCCCCACGCATTCACTCAACATTTCCCAACATCTCTCTCTATACACTTCTCTCTTCTCCATGTGCATATTATATTATTTTTTTTATTATCACACTGGCCGATTCCCACCAAGGCAGGGTGGCCCGAAAAAGAAAAACTTTTCACTTTTTCTTCTTCTCTTTTTTAGTAAATGCCTACAGGAGAAGGGGTTACTAGCCCATTGCTCCCGGCATTTTAGTCGTCTCATACGACACGCATGGCTTACGGAGGAAAGATTCTTTTCCACTTCCCCATGGACAATAGAAGAAATAAAGAGGAACAAGAGCTATTTAGAAAAAGGAGAAAAACCTAGATGTATGTATATATATATGCATGTGCGTGTCTGTGAAGTGTGACCAAAGTGTAAGTAGAAGTAGCAAGATATCCCTGTTATCTAGCGTGTTTATGAGACAGAAAAAGAAACCAGCAATCCTACCATCATGCAAAACAGTTACAGGTTTCTGTTTCACAGTCATCTGGCAGGACGGTAGTACTTCCCTGGGTGGTTGCTGTCTACCAACCTACTACTCATATACGCTTATTATAACCCACTTTTCATCTCCAACCTTTATTTTACTTTATTTTATTTTCAATAAAGGTCTGTAATAATAATTTAAATGTTATTTATCCATTTCATTGGTCATTTTATTTAGTTCTCATTGTTTTGTGTATGTAAAACTATAGTTAATCTTCAAAAAACATTTTTTGGTGCCTGGAACTGATTAATTGTATTCACGTTATTTCTTATCTGCAATATTGCTTCGTTTTAGGCCCTTTCGGATTTAGACCAACCTTCTAGAGTATATATCAGGTTTCTATGTTATTTATATTGTTTATTACGTCATATTAGATGAAGTGAGATAGATAAGTAAGCTGTAGAGCTGATATTAGCGAAATTATTGAGGTACAGAATTCCACTGGAACGGATTAATTGCATTTCAATTAATTTAAATGAGGAAAATTGACCCTGCAAAAGAGCAAATCCAGTTGCGAGCAAGGTCATGGAACAGATTAAACTTGCAAGTAAAGGTTCCACTGTATATTTTTTGTAATATGTCGGCTGTTTCCCACCGAGGCAAAGTGACACAAAAAGAAAGAAAAAACCCAAAAAGAAAAAACTTTCATCAATTAACACATTCACCATCACTCATACATAATGACTGTCTTTGCAGAGGCACTCGGATATGACAGTTTAGAAGTCCCTCCAAACTGCAAATATCCCAAACCCCTCCTTTAAAGTGCAGGCAGCGTACTTCCTATTTCCACCACTCAAGTCCGGCTAACCAATTTCCCTGAATTCCTCCACAAAATATTACCCTGCTCACACTCCAGCAGCTCGTCTGGGCCCAAATACAGTGGACCCCCGGTTATCGATATTTTTTCATTCCAGAAGTATGTTCAGGTGCCAGTACTGACCGAATTTGTTCCCATAAGGAATATTGTGAAGTAGATTAGTCCATTTCAGACCCCCAAACATACACGTACAAACGCACTTACATAAATACACTTACATAACTGGTCGCATTGGGAGGTGATCGTTAAGCGGGGGTCCACTGTACTATACATCTCAATTCACTCCTATCTACCATGCTCATGCACACTTGAATACATACCTGAATTTTCCTCTGTTCCTCTTCCTTTCTTATTTTGTCCTCCTCAATTCTCCTTAATTCTTCTTGTCTTCTCAACTGTTCTTCTCTCATTTTTCGCCTTTCTTCTTCTAGCCTCTGTGTCTCTTCCTCATGTTGTCGTCTGAGAGCCTCTAAATTTCTTCGCTGTTCTTCTTGTCGTTTAAGTTCTTCTTTCAATCTAAAGCACATAAATAAATTGCTGAAAAACACTCATAATATAAGCATGTTGCACGGCTTCTCTATGCCCTAATAATAATAATGCACTAGTTATAAAAAATCAATAATAATAATTGTCCAAAACAAGATAAAATAGTCTTGCACAGGATGGCTTGCAGTGTTCATTCCTTAAACAAATAAACCCATAGTTATAAAGCATATCTGTCAGACTTATGCTAAAAGTAATACTAAAAGAGAATGAAACAAATACACTGTACATATCAATAACAGAAGGGCAATGCCTGCACTCTGAGGGTGGGGTAGGATGAGGAAGTTGCAGTCGGATATGTAATCTGATTGTGATGTCAGCACACTTCTGGAAAGACGGCGAGTGAGTGAGTTTTGGTGAATGTGTTTCATTTTTTGGGTTGCCCTGCCTTGGCAGGAGAAGCACGTTGTGATAAAAAAAAAAGCATACAAAAAATAAAAAATTACGTCACATGGTATCATTAAGTTATAGTAGGCATTTGAGCATAATCATAAAAAGTAATGAGATATGTCTGAATAAATACAAATAAATTTTGGTTTAACTTGAATGAACATAACATTGTATGATAACACTGTGATGTGCCATTGGCATCCATTGCAGAAATTAATACATGCAACACTGAAATGACGGCTACAAATCACAACTGTTACAAGCTGAATATTCTTCTCTCATATAATCAAAAAACAAGTGAGAAGATTAATGCTAGTGGTGCCTGGCACTTCAAAACCCATCACACCATTCTTGAGTTAATTGATCAGCCTGCTGCAGAGCACACACTCATACTGTGGGAAGAAACATTACATATGGTGACAGCGTGGTTACAAAAACAGCCAGCACAAAGTAGTCACCATGAAAATATGTATCGTAAGTGAACATTTTTATTTTACCACAATGGTTGTTTCTAATCAGGGTAGGGTGAAACAAAGGAAACACATTCACCTTCACTCATTCAATACTGTAGTTGTCTTGCCAGAAGTGTGCAGACATCACAATTCAAATGACCCTTCAAATAATGCAATTATAAAAATTAATAATACAGTAATCTCTTATTTGCTGAAATGTAATCAAATGTCATATCAAGCTTTCTTTTTAGTTTTATTTACTGCAAACTCCCATGATTTATTAACCATTCATTCATGTGTATGGTTTTAGGGTGAATGAGGAACCATTACTCAAAACAGTAAAATATTATTTAGCTGTGATTCAGATTGAAAGAATATTAGACAATCAAACATCCATTCTATTTATTAGCTAATATTTAACACAGGAACAAACAGGAAGTCAATGTACACCTTATGATCAGGAAATTCTACATCTTTAATATATTTTGTAGACAGCAAAGACAAGATAGTCAATCTTTTTCAAAGTAATAAAGGCCTTTTAGAGTAGGAGTAATAACAGAAACAAACAAACAGCACAAATTGAGACTACAAGCACACATGAAAAAGATGATCATCATGAGAGCTCATTAAGTGGTATGTTGGGTTAAAGATGCATGCTGATCTACGTATTGAAAATTACAACGTGTCAGTTAGTCTCCCACTGAATCAGGACGACACAAAAAAAAGAAAAATGCCTTCACCATCATTCACACAATCACTATCTTTGAAGAGGCGCTCACATATGACAGTTTAGAACTCGCTCCAAACTGCCAATATCCCAAACACTTCCCACCTCTAGGATTCACGTCCGGCTAACGGGTTTTTTGAGTCCCTTCACAAAATATTACCCTGCTCACGCTCAAACAGCTCGTCAGGGCCATTCGTCTCCATTCACTCCTATCTCACAATATTATACCTTAATATGTTTCTCACCTAAGTTCTTCCATCTTTATTCTTTCCTCCTCAGCTCTCTTGTGGTCTTCTAGTCGCTTTCTCTCCTCTTCAAGCTTTTTCTGATCTTCTTCACGCCGCCGTTTTTCCTCCTGAAACAAGTGGTTAAATACAAAATTCAATAATGATGATGCTCATCACAGCAGCAACCCATTACTTACAAAACATGTGTGTTATTATCTGAATCAGCTGTATTATTAATGCATTTGGCAGGGTACTACTGTCCTGCCAAATGTGTGTGAAATGGAAACCTGCAATTGTTTTACACAATGGTAAGAATGCTGGTGTCTTTTTTCTATCTCATAAACACACGGGATGACAAGTATATCTTGTTACATCTACTTACGCTTAGGTCACACTCCACATGATGCACATGCAAATATATTTACAAACCCATCTGGATTTTCTTCTATTTTCTTAAAAGTTCTTATTGTTCTTTATTTCCTCTTATCCCCATGGGTAAATGGAAAAGAATTCTTCTTCCATAAGTCAAGCGAGTCATAAGAGGTGACTAAAATGTCAAGGTTAGTAACTCCTGCTGTATTTTTTTTTTTTTTTGTTCAACAAGTCGACTGTCTCCCACCGAGGCAGGGTGACCCAAAAAGAAAATACTTTCATCATCATTCAACACTTTCACCACACTCACACACTATCACTGTTTTTGCAGAGGTGCTCAGAATACAACAGTTTAGAAGCATATACGTATAAAGATACACAACATATATCTCCAAACTGCCAATATCCCAAACCCCTCCTTTCAAGTGCAGGCATTGTACTTCCCATTTCCAGGACTCAAGTCCGACTATATGAAAATAACCGGTTTCCCTGAATCCCTTCACTAAATATTACCCTGCTCACACTCCAACAAATCGTCAGATCCCAAGTACCATTCGTCTCCATTCACTCCTATCGAACACACTCACGCACCCTTGCTGGAAGTCCAAGCCCCTCGCCCACAAAACCTCCTTTACCCCCTCTCTCCAACCCTTTTGAGGACGACCCCTACCCCGCCTTCCTTCCCCAATAGATTTACAGTGGAACCTCAAATATCGAACTTTCTTTGGTCCAGAAGGTTGTTCGAGTGCCTTTACCAAATGAATTTATTCCAATCAGGAATAACGTAAATTAGATTAGTCCATTTCAGACCCTCAAAAATACACTTATTAAAGCACTTACAAAAATACACTTACATAATTGGTCGTGTTGGGAGCAGTTCGATTTTTGAGGTTCCACTGTGTATGCTTTCTATGCCATTCTACTTTGATCCATTCTCTCTAAATGACCAAACCACCTCAACAACTCCTCTTCTGCCCTCTGACTAATACTTATTAACTCCACACCTTTTCCTAATTTCCACACTCCCTATTTTCTGCATAATATTTACACCACACATTGCCCTTAGACAGGACATCTCCACTGACTCCAACCGTCTCCTCGCTGCTGCATTTACCACCCAAGCTTCACACCCATATAAGTGTTGGTACTACTATACTTTCATACATTCCCTTCTTTGCCTCCATAGATAATGTTTTTTGACTCCACATATACCTCAATGCACCACTCACCTTTTTCCCTCATCAATTCTATGATTAACCTCATCCTTCATAAATACATCCGCCGACACGTCAACTCCCAAGTATCTGAAAACATTCACTTCTTCCATACTCCTCCTCCCCAATTTGATATCCAATTTTTCTTTATCTAAATCATTTGATACCCTCATCACCTTACTCTTTTCTATGTTCACTTTCAACTTTCTACCTTTACACACATTCCCAAACTCATCCACTAACCTTTGCAATTTTTCTTTAGAATCTCCCATAAGAAGTTTCATCAGCAAAAAAGCAACTGTGTCAATTCCCATTTTGTATTTGATTCCCCATAATTTAATCCCACCCCTCTCCCGAACACCCTAGCATTTACTTCCTGTACAACCCCATCTATAAATATATTAAACAACTATGGTGACATTACACATCCCTGTCTAAGACCTACTTTTACTGGGAAGTAGCCTCCCTCTCTTCTACACACCCTAACCTGAGCCTCACTATCCTCATAAAAACTCTTTACAGCATTTAGTAACTTACCACCTATTCCATATACTTGCAACATCTGCCACATTGCTCCCCTATCCACTATCATATGCTCTTTCTAAATCCATAAATACAATAAAAACTTCCCTACCTTTATCTAAATACTGTTCACATATATGCTTCAATGTAAAGACATGATCTACACATCCTCTACCTACTCTAAAACCTCCTTGCTCATCCGCAATCCTACATTCTGTCTTACCTCTAATTCTTTCAATTATAACCCTACCGTACACTTTTCCTGGTATACTCAGTAAACTTATTCCTCTATAATTTTTACAATCTCTTTTGTCCCCCTTCCCTTTATATAAAGGGACTATACATGCTCTCTGCCAATCTCTAGGTATCTTCCCATCTTCCATACATTTATTAAACAAAAATACCAACCACTCCAACACTATATCCCCCCATGCTTTTAACATTTTTGTCATGATCCTGTCAGTTCTACATAATGCCTCACACACCTCCCCCACACTCACATCCTGTTCTTCTTCACTCCTAAAAGATGGTATACCTCCCTGTCCAGTGCATGAAATTACCGCCTCCCGTTCTTCGTCGACATTTAAAAGTTCCTCAAAATATTCTTGCCATCTACCCAAAACCTCCCTCTCCCATCTGCTAACTCCCCTACTCTGTTTTTAACTGACAAATCCATTTGTTCCCTAGGCTTTCTTAATGTGTTTAACTCACTCCAAAATTTTTTCTTATTTTCATTAAAATTTCTTGACAGTGCCTCTACCACTCTATCATCTGCTCTCCTTTTGCACTCTCACCACTCTCTTCACCTTTCTTTTACTCTCCATATACTCTACTCTTCTTATAACACTTCTGCTTTGTAAAAACCTCTCATAAGCTAACTTTTTCTCTTTTATCACATCCTTTACTTCATCATTCCACCAATCACTCCTCTTTCCTCCTGCCCCCACCCTCCTACAGCCACAAACTTCTGCCCCACATTCTGATACTGCATTTTTAAAACTATTCCAACCCTCTTCAACCCCCCCCCCCACCACTCATACTTGCACCAGCCTACCTTTCTGCCAATAGTTGCTTATATCTCACCCGAACTTCCTCCTGCCTTAGTTTATACACTCTCACCTCCCTCTTACTTGCTGCCATTTTCCTCTTTTCCCATCTACCTCTTACTCTAACTGTAGCTGCAACTAAATAATGATCCGATAGATCAGTTGCCCCTCTATAAAAGTGTACATCCTGGAGCCTACCCATCAACCTTTTATCCTCCAATATATAATCTAACAAACTTTCATTACATGCTATATCATACCTTGTATATTTATTTATCCTCTTCTTCATAAAATATGTATTACTTATTGCTAAACCTCTTTCTACACATAGCTCAATTAAAGGCTCCCCATTTTCATTTACCCCTGGCACCCCAAATTTACCTACTACTCCCTCCACATCATTTTTGCCCACTTTAGCATTGAAATCCCCAACCACCATTGCTCTCACACTTGGTTCAAAACTCCCTATGCATTCACTCAACATTTCCCAAAATCTCTCTCTCTCCTCTACACTTCTCTCTTCTCCAGGTGTATATACGCTTATTATAACCCACTTTTCACATTCAACCTTTATTTTACTCCACATAATCCTTGAATTAATACATTTATAGTCCTTCTTTTCTGCCATAACTTACCCTTCAACATTATTGCTACTCCTTCTTTAGCTCTAACTCTATTTGAAACCCTTGACTTAATCCCATTTATTCCTCTCCACTAAAACTCTCTTACCCCCTTCATCTTTGTTTCACTTAAAACCAGGAGATCCAGCTTCTTCTCATTCATAACTTCCATAATCATCTCTTTCTTATCATTTGCACAACATCCACCCACATTCAGACTTCCCACTTTGACAATTTTCTTCTTATTCTTTTTAGTAATTATTACAGGAAAAGGGGTTACTAGCCCAGCGTTCCCGACATTTTAGTTGACTTTTACAATATGCATGGCTTACGGAGGAAATATTCTTATTCCACTTCCCCATGGATATGAAAGGAAAAGTAATAAGACCAAGAACTATTAAGATAAAATCAAAGAAAACTCAGACGAGTGTGTATAAATAAACATGTACATGTAGTACAGGTAGTAGGTTGGTAGACAGCAACCGTCCAGGGAGGTACTACCGTCCTACCAAGTGAGTGTAAAACGAAAGCCTGTAATTGTTTTACATGATGGTAGGATTGCTGGTGTCCTTTTTTTCTGTCTCATGAACATGCAAAATTTCAGGTACGTCTTGCTACTTCTACTTACACTTAGGTCACACTGCACATACATGTACAAGCATATATATACACACTCTGGGTTTTCTTCTATTTTCTTTCTAGTTCTTGTTGTTGTTTATTTCCTCTTATCTCCATGGGGAAATGGAACAGAATTCTTCCTCCATAAGCCATGCGTGTTGTAAGAGGCGACTAAAATGCCGGTAGCAAGGGGCTAGTAACCCCTTCTCCCGTATAAATTACTAAATTTAAAAAGAGAAACTTTCCTTTTTCTTTTTGGGCCACCCTGCCTTGGTGGGATACGGCTGGTTTGTTGAAAAAAAAAAAAAATGTATATGTAGCGTGATCTAAGAGTAAGTAGAAGTAGCAAGACATACCTGAAATCTTACATGTTTATGAGACAGAAAAAAGATGCCAGCAATCCTACCAACATGTAAAACAATTACAGGTTTCCATTTTACACTCACTTGGCAGGACGGTAGTACCTCCCTGGGCGGTTGCTGTCTACCAACCTACTACAAATCGGCTGTCTCCCACCGAAATTTGATGGAAAACTTACGGAATTATGCTCTCAACAAGTTAGCAGTCTCAGTGATATTTATGAATCGGTGATTTCACCCACTGAGTCCTATTTGAGACCAATTCCACTGCTCCAGTTGCCCAAACTCACAGGTATTTTGTCAGTATGCCTTGTATTCTATTGACTGAGTATAATTAACTGACCATATAACTATTTCAACTACTCAATCAAGTGATCAGGAATCAGCAATTTGGCCAATTTCACACAAAATTAAAGAATTGCCAATTTAAAAATAGGGTCAAGAGTGAACAATGTAGACGTTCCTGGCACTAAAACATTTCCTGTGTTCATTAGTTATGCCCCCAAGGCCTCTCCTATATTACACTTTCTTTCCATTTCTAATTTTATTCACAGAGATAATAGAAGATTTACCAGTATACCGACTATTGTATTACACGTATTGTAATAGTTGTACAAATAATGTCAGTGCATTCGTAAACACGTATTAGACTGACCAGTTGGACACGTACTGGACAAGTGATGTGATTTGTGTCCTCTGGAATATCAACAAAAATCAAACATTTCCACCATGAGCTCAATTTCAAGCTACTTTCAGTCCTGAAACCAATCAAAATCATTCTATTTCTGTAATATATCATCCATTCTACCAAATGATACCAAGAAACTGAGAATACAACCATAAAAACCATCTGAAAATACATCACAAAGTCACTATTTCTGAAAATACATCACAAAGTCACTATTTTAAATCAAATTCATGATCATTTTTATTTCGCATCATTCACTGCATGAGGCAGGTATGTATGTAAATGAAAAACAATTATATACAAGGTTCGCTACTATCCACAGTTTCGGGTATCTGCAGCAGGTCTTGGAATGTATTACCCACAGATACGGGGGGACTACTGTATATCTTTCATAACCCCCACACCAAATTTTTGTGCCCCTCAAAGAAAAATATTCACACCACACACTGCTCTAGATCAAGACATTGCCACTGTCTCCAGTTTCTTCTTCACTCCAACATTTAATGGTCATGCCTCACAATCATATAAATATGTTTGTACCGCTATACTCTGGTACATTCCCTTTTTTGTTTCTACTGATAAACTTCTTTCTCTCCACATATACCTTATCACACCACCTACTTTTTCGACTCAGTTCTCTGGTTCAACTCATCTTTCATAGACTCGTCCACCATGCGCATTACATGTTATACTGTAATATGCCATTTTTCACTGCTTTATAGACAGCGCTAAATCTATTGGAGTTGTACAATGCCTGAAGAATGGAATGCAATCAGCAAAGAACCAAGGAACAGGTGTAGCAATAATTCTTTGGAGTAAGAGCCCTTCACCTGAATTAAAACACCCTATTAAAGAGTATAATAATGCGAATTATAAATTTACCTGCATTATATTTGGTGATGGTGATTGCATCTTTGTTAGCTGTTGCATAAGAGACTGGATGGCATCAAACTGCTGTTCAGGTGGTTTCTCCATTGCTGAAACAGCTGGTGTGGCTGCTGCTACTCCAGGCACCCCTACTCCAAGGGCTCCTGCTGGCCCTCCCATTGGTCCCATACTTGGTTGCTGACCCCTCTGGAGCTGCACTAAAAGCTTCTGTAACGGATTCTCTGCAGCCATGGAAGTTGCTGTCAGTTGAGAGGTCAACAAGCCTTCACAGGAACTGCTCAACGCAGTATTGTTTGCAGCAGAGGACGTTTGCTGAAATACATTAACAGGCTCAATTAGATATTAAAAGTGATTATTTTACTAATTCATGATAAACCCTTTCAGAGTCCAGAGGCCAAATTTCAAAGTGCACACCAGGGTCCAAGAATTTTCAAAAAAAATTTTTGTTATTTTTTCTTATGAAATGGTAGAGAATCTTTCTCTGAAGGTAATAAAACAAAAAGTACAAAATTTGATGAAAAATTGACGAAATTATGCTCTCGCGAATTTTAATGTGTCAGTGATATTTACGAATCAGCGATTTTGCTGACTTTGACTCCCATTTTAGACCAATTACATTATTCCAGTTGACCAAATTCTTAGCTATTTCACTAGTATTACTTCTATTCTATCGATTGAGCACAATATATCGCCAAGTCAACTGTTTCAACTACAAAATAAAGTGATCACAAATTGGTAATTTGGCCTTTTTTAACACAAAGTTCAAAATATTCCAATTTCAAAATAGGGTCCAGAATAAACAATGTAGGTATTCCTGGCACTAAACTAACATTTCCTCTGTTCATTAGCTATGTTTTCAGGCTTTACAAATGAATTCCATTTTGATTTTTTATTCACATAATGAATTTTTATTCAAACCAAAAAATAGAAGATGTATTGTTATGCAATATTGTAATAATTGTATAAATATTATCACCACATTTGTGAATGTATATTAGACCCACCAGCTGGTGTGTATTAGACATGTGAGGTCGTATGTTTACTATTGGACATCGGCAAAAATTTAACATTTACGCTACTTTGAGCTCAGTTTCAAGCCATTTTTCAGTGCTACAACCAATCAAAATCATCTCTATTTCTGTAATATGTCTTCCATTCTATCAAATGAGACCAAGAAATCGCAAATACAACTATAAAAAACATACAAAAAACACTGCAAAGTCGCTGTTTTAATCGAAAATCACAGTTTCAGTTTTTTCTCTCATTATACAGTGTGTGCTGCAGGATTTGTTTTATGTGGTGCACACATACCACATAGATGTATTCTCTCATATCTAGGCCCAAATTTACCACTCACAGCTTATCAGAGTGAGCTGAGCTCATGGTGTAGATCTACGGTTTGGACCCTGAACGTAAAGCCGTAGATCTATGGCACGGACCTTGAAAGGGTTAATGATATAACTCAAGTTGAACAGAATATTAAGAAAGCATTTTACTGCACCTGAAAGCATCAGTCTTAAAAGCATGCCATAAAGTTAAGTACAGTGTACCCCCGGTTAACGATATTTTTTCACTCCAGAAGTATGTTTAGGTGCCAGTACTGACCGAATTTGTTCCCATAAGAAATATTGTGAAGTAGATTAGTCCAGACCCCCAAACATACACGTACAAACGCACTTACATAATTAGTCACATTCGGAGGTAATCGTTATGCGGGGGTCCACTGTATATGCATAAAGAATAAGAGGTTGACAGAGCTTAAGATGACCAGCCAAAAGACTACAAGGAAGTTAAACAGAAAGTTAGAGTGGAAGTAACTATAACACTAAATTTCTTGCCTCTAAAGTACAATATGTATATAAAATATTATTCTGGTATTAATTCCCTGAAGTCCCCACTTACCATTTGTGCAACAAGTGCTTGAATGGGATCCTGAGGTTTAGAAGATGGTTGTACTACTGGCCCGGGTAAGACTCTAGGGTCTGGCCCAGCCACAACTCTAGGGTCAGGAATAGGTGGAGACACTTGGGTGGTCGGAGGCATGGCAGTTGGTTGGACAGTGGATGGAGGCACTGTTGGGGGTATAGGTGGGTGGGCAGGAATTACAGTCACCATGTGCTGCATAAACAGCTGCTGCTGTTGCATTGGGTTAAGGGTGCTCCACTCATCAAGACTCTTAAGCTTCTGTAACACTTGCTGCCTGCTAAAAGAAAATCCATCCAATTACCTCATTCCAATTATTAAAATATTAAAAATATTCATAGAACTAATATCACACACCAAGAATCTTTCCAAAAGACCCTGCCCTACATAATAGTTTAATCTGACGAGTACCTCAACTTGTAGCTAATTCAGCACTCTTAGTAATGAATTTATATACTGTACAATACACACAAGAAAAACAAATATAAAATTAACAAACAAAAACTATTAACATGAAAAATACATCACAAATGCAATCATAATAAACAGCATCCATTTAAAATCCCCTTAAATTAATAGCAGAAGACTTTCTTAAAACAATCTCAAAGGTCTCTATAGGCACCAAAGTAATAATAAAAACCATGACTAAAACAAAAGGTCCATGCCATGGGAAAACTCTTAACCCTTTCAGGGTCCAAGGCCAAAATCTGAAGTGGTGCCCCAGTGTCCAAGAATTTAAAAAAAAAAAAAATTATTTTTTCTTATGAAATGGTAGAGAATCTTTTTGTGAATGTAATAAAACAAAAAGTACGAAATTTGATGGAAAATTGACGAAATTATGCTCTTGTGAATTTTGATGTGTCAGCGATATTCATGAATTGGCGATTTTGCTGACTTTGACTCCCATTTTAGGCCAATTACATTATTCCAGTCGACCAAATTCTTAGCTATTTCACTAGTATTACTTCTATTCTATCGATTGAGCACAAGAAATCGCCAAGTCAACTGTTTCAACTACAAAATAAAGTGACCGGAAATTGGTAATTTGGCCAATTTAACACAAAGTTCAAAATATTCCAATTTCAAAATAGGGTCCAGAATAAACAATGTAGGTATTCCTGGCACTAAACTATTCCTCTGTTCATTAGTTATGTTTTGAGGCTTTACAAATAAATTCCATTTTGATTTTTTATTCACATAATGAATTTTTATTCACACCAAAAAATAGAAGATTTACTGTTATGCAATATTGTAATAATTGTATAAATATCATCACCACATTTGTGAATGTATATTAGACCCACCAGCTGGCGTGTATTAGACGTGTGAGGTCGTTTGTTTACTCTTGAACATCGGCAAAAATTTAACATTTCCGCCACTTTGAGCTCAATTTCAAGCCATTTCCAGTGCTAACACCAATCAAAATTATCTCTATTTCTGTAATATGTCTTCCATTCTATCAAATGAGACCAAGAAATCACAAATACAACTATAAAAAACATACGAAAAACACTGCAAAGTCGCTGTTTTAATCGAAAATCATGGTCTCGGTTTTTTTTCTCTCATTATACACAGTGTGTTGCAGGATTTGTTTTATGTGGTGCACACATACCACATAGATGTATTCTCTCATATCTAGGCCCAAATTTACCACTCACAGTTTATCAGAGTGAGCTGAGCTCATGACGTAGATCTACGGTTTGGACCCTGAACGTAAAGCCGTAGATCTACGGGACGGACCCTGAAAGGGTTAAATGTGTTCCCTAGTTAGCTGCACTTCCCAAGGACATATCTGTGGATATAACTCATGAAGTCACTGCAAGGCAAAGGTCTGCAATAGCACAAGCTCATTATAGCAGCCCTGGTATTGGCATCTACCCAATCATTTCCCAAGATACCAACAAAACTCCACATACTTGTGCTTTGCATAGAAACAAAATAGCAACTCATGGATCTTTTGGGTCATAAGATGGACAGAACACATTGGTCCAGAACAGAGCACATTGGGAATCCAAATATACAATGAACTGAGAACTAACTAAGCCAGCTGCAGGATGAGAGCAACAAGGATTGTGCAAGCACCACAGTAAACACAAAGGACTCTTTATAACTGCACGTAGAGTCCTCACTGGCTATCACAGCAAAACCAACACCACCCTTCCCCTTTTGCCCATCAATATACTCAACAAAATCTAGGAAATATTTTGCTTTCAACCATATCAATCTGTGCAACTGCAATTCCTGACTCAAATCTCTGAGGCTTAAGCCTTACATACAGGCACCCCAAACATCAACACATCTCACATTCAGGATCACTTTTTCTATGTCGGAAATTAATTAATTTCCAGTCCAGTTTGTTTTATTGTAACAAATGCCTAACTTTTTGAATCAGTGAATTGTGAAAATGGGGTTACCCCTTCAGTAAAAGCTTTTTTAACAGACAAACTGATAAGTGAACAGTGCACCAACCTCATGGCCATTTGTTGTTGGTAAACATGCTTCTGCATCATGTATGTTTGTAGCAACTCTATCCGTTCACGCTCAGCTTGTTGCTTTTGTGCTAACAACTCTGTCACCTGAAACAAACAAATTATCAGTATAGTAACTCATTTAGAAAGCATCAGAAAGCTGATAGGAGTTTTAATGAGGATTGTGAGGCTCAGGTTAAGATATGCAGTAGAAAGGGAGATTGCTTTCCAGTGAAAATAGGCCTCAGACAGGGATGCGTGATGTCACCATGTTTAACATATTTCTACATTGGGTTTTAAAGGAAGTCTATGCAAGTGTGTTGGGAGAGGTGTGGGATTAAAATATGAAGAGAAGGTGCAAAGGTTAGTGGATGAATTTGCTGGGGTGTGTAAAGAAGCAACTTGAAAGGAACATAGATAAGAACAAGGTGATGAGGGTAATGAACAAGTTAGGTAATGAAAGACTGCATATCAGACTGGAGGGAGGGACTATGGAGGAAGTGAATGTGTTCAGATATTTGGGAGTGAACCTGTAGGCAGATGGGTATGTGAAAACTAAGTGAACCATAAAATTGACAAAGGGAAAAAGGTGGGTGGTGCACCGAGATATCTGTGGATACAAATAATGTGATCCATGGAGGTAAAGACTGGAATGTATAAGAGTATAGTGGTACCAACACTATTAAATGGATGTGAAGCATGGGTTGTGACTGTTGCAGCAAGGAGGAAGTTGGAGGAAGTGGAGATGTCGTTTCTGAGGGCAAAGTGTGATGTAAATATTATGCAGAGAATTCGAAGTTTGGAGATTAGGAGGAGGTGTAGAGTTACTAAAAGTATTATTCAGAGGGCTGAGGAGGGGTTGTTGAGGTGGTCTGGTTGTTTGGAGAGGCTGGAACAAAACAGGATGACTTGGAGGGTGTATAAATCTGTAGTGGAGGGAAGGCAGGGTAGGGGTTATCTTAGGAGGGAGAAGGTGAAGGACGTTCTGTGTGCATGGGGCATGGACATCCAGCAGGCATTTGTGTAAAATAGGAGTGGAAGCAAATGGTTTTTGGGGCCTGACAAGTTGTTGGAGTGTGAACAAGGTAACATTCAGGAAACTGGCAAGCCGTGGACTGAGTCCTGGAGGTGGGAAGTACAGTGGAACCCTGGTATATGAACTTAATTTGTTCCAGAAGGCTGTTCAGGTGCTGATCTGCTTGAGTACCAAACAAATTTTTCCCAACCAATTTTTCTTTTTGATTGGCTATCACTAATCTTCTTAGGCCCCATGGTGACTTATTCATACAAATAATATAAAAAATGCAAAGAAACATGAAGTAGTTCATAGTGAAGTTCTGGCAGGTCATGTTTGTTTAGTCAAGAGCTGAACAAACGATTGACTACCAAGCGATATTTTTTACCAAACAAAACATTCAAATACCAAACTGTTCAAGTAGAGAGCTGTTCGAGTGCCAAGGTTCCACTGCACTCTAAAGGAGGGGTTCAAAGTATGTGCTGTTTGAAGGGACATCTGAACTGTCATATTTGTGTGCCTCTGGCAAGAGTGATAGGTGAACGATGGTGAAAGTTCCTTTTTCGGGTCACCCTATCTGGGTGGAAGACAGTCGGTACAAAAAAAAAACTAATTGTCATACAACTGGACAACATTGGTAGACAGCAGCCACTCAGGGAGATACTATCGTCCTGCCAACTGAGTGTTAAAGAGAAACCTGTAACTGTTTTACACAATGGTAGGATTTGATTAAAATAAAGGTCAGAAGCAAAGAGTAGGTTATAGTAAGTGTTTATGCACCTGGAGAAGAGTGTAAAGGAGAGAGAGAGAGAGATTTTGAGAGATGTTAAGCGAGTGTTTAGAGAGTATTAAACCAAGAGAGTAATTATAGTGGGGGACCTAAATACTAAAGTGGTAGCAACTTTTGTAGAGGGTGTAGCAGATAAGTTTAGGATGCCAAGGGTAAATGATACTAGGGGAGCATTTGACTGAACTTTGTAGAGAAAGTGGTTTGGTAATTGGTAATGGATATTTTTAAGACAAAGAAGATAAATGAGTACAGTGGTACCTCGAATTTCAGCCTTAATTCATTCCAGAAGGCCGTTCGAGTGCCGTTACCAAACGAATTTGTTCCCATTCCATAAGGAATAATGTAAATTAGATTAGTCCGTTTCAGACCCCCAAAAATACACTTACAAAAGCGCTTAAAATACACTTACATAATTGTTCGAGTTGGGAGCTGTTTAAAATTCGAGGTACCACTGAATATGCAATACGTTATACAGCATAATGACAATAGTTTGTTGGATTATGTAGTGGTGGATAAAAGGTTGATGGATAAAAGGTTAATGGTGCATGTTTATAGAGAGACAACAGATTATTTTTTTTTTTAGCATGCTGATCATCTCCCACCGAGGCAGGGTGGAAAAAAAAAACTCACCATCATTCGCACAATCACCATCTTTGCAGAGGAGCACAGATACGACAGCTCTGGTGTCACTCCTAAAAGTAAATATCTCTAACCCCTCCTTTAAGGGGAAGGCACTGTACTTCCCACCTCCTGGACTCAAGTCTGGCTAACCAGTTTCCCTGAATACCTTCAAAAAGTATTATCCTGCTCACACATCAACAGCTCGTCACATCCCAAACACCATTCATCTCCACTTACTAACACACTCACATATACATCAGATCATTATATAGTTGTAGATACAGTAAGAGCAAGAGGTAGATGGGGTACAAAGAGAATGGCAACAGCGAGTAAGAGAGGTGAACATATATATACTAGAGAGAGGGTAATTAGGGTAAGATATAAGCAACTATTGGTAGAAAGATGAGCTAGTGAGAGTATAGGTAATGAGGAGGCTGAAGAGATATGGGGTAGATTTACGAATGCTGTTAGTGTGCATCAAAAGTTTGTGGATGTAGGAGAGTGGGTGCTGGAGAAAAGATGAGAAATTGGTGGAATGAGGTAAAGGGAGTGGTAAGGGAGAAAAAGCAGAAGTAATATAAGGAGGGAGGAGTATATGAAGCATAAAAGAGAAGTAAAGAGTGACAAGGGAGTGTAAAAGAAGAATAAATAAGAGTTGATGAGGTTGTCAACAAATTTTGCCGAGTAGAAAAAGTCTTGGAACGAATGGATCTAACAAAGACAGAAGAGGGGTTATTAGATGAGGAGTTGGAGTGAGCCAGATGTGCAAATGGTGGAGGTGCATCAGGCAGTGGGTTGAAATAAAAAGGGTAAAACAGCTAGGATTAATGGGATCAAAACAAATGTTAAAAGGAAGTGGGGATATAATTTTGGAGTGGTTGGTACCTTAGTTCAATAAACGAAAGAGGAGAAGGTACCTAAGGACTGGCAGAGAGTATGCATAGTTCCTTGGTATAAAGGAATGGGGGACAAATGTAAAATTTGTAGGGAAATAAGCCTGTTGAGTTCTCCATGGGGAAGTGGAACACAATTCTTCCTCTGTAAGCCATGCGTGTCGTAAGAGGTGACTAAAATGCCAGGTGCAAGGGGCTAGTAACCCCTTCTCCTGTATATATGACTAAATTTAAAAAGAGAAACTTTTGTTTCTCTTTTTGGGCCACCCTGCCTCGGTGAGATACGACCAGTTCATTGAAAGAAGCAGCCTGTTGAGTATACTAGGTAAAGTGTATGATAGAGAGTTATTATTGAAAGAATTAAAGGCAAGACAGAGAGAAAGATTGCAAAAGAACGAGGAGGTTTTAGAAAGGGAAGGAGATATGAAGTCCAGGTAAGGAAGCTTTCATTGAATTCATCTTTTCAGAAAAGGCATATAATAAGGTGAATTGGGGAGCAATGTGGCAGATGTTGCAAGTGTATGTTAGAGATGTTAGTTTATTTAAAGCAGTTAATTATTTTTTGAGGATAGTGAGGCTCATGGTTAGGGAATGTAGGAGAGAGGAAGATTATTTTCCATTAAAAGTAGATCTTAGACAGGAATGTTTAATATCATGGTTGCTAAATGTTTATAGATGAGGTTGTAAAACAAGTGAATGGCAGGATGTTGGGGAGCTGTGGTATTTTTGTGATGACAGTGCTATCTGGAGTCTACCTGGAAGGTGTTCCAGGGGTCAACACCCCCACAGCCCAGTCCTTGATTAGTTCTCCTGGTGGGTCGGAGCCTGATCAACCAAGTTATCACTGGTTGAACATAGTCCAACATACGAACCACAGCCCGGTTGATCAGGTACGTACTGACTACGTATCTGTCCAGCTCCTCTTGAAGGCAGCCAGGGGTTTACTGGTAATTTACCTTATGACTGTTGAACAGTCTTGGGCCCTGGACACTTACTGTGTTTTCTCTTAGTGTACTAATGGCACCCCCTACTTTTCACTGGGGGTACAGTAGGGCCCCACTTTAGGCATTCCGCTAATACAGACATTTCAAATTATGACCAAAACTCACTATATGGCTCCCCCACCTGACTAATATGGTTACTGTGTGCACTGTTTACATTCTCTTTGAGGTCAGTGTCTCTCCATTATGTCTGGAAACTTTCCGAAATGTCATGTGTTTTATAATTATTGTGTATTTTACATGTACTCTGATAATTATACTTATGTGTACCTGTACCTAAATAAACTTACACTGTGCTGGTGTGCAGGTACACATTAACCCTTCCAGGGTTTCGGACGTACTAGTACGGCTTACGCACCAGGATTTTAGATGTACTAGTACGCCTAAATTCTAGCGCCCTCAAATCTAATGACAGAAAGCTGGTAGGCCTACATATGAAAGAATGGGTCTATGTGGTCAGTGTGCGCAGTATAAAAACAATCCTGCAGCACACAGTGCGTAATGAGAAAAAAAAAATCTTTGTTTTTGGATTAAAACAGCGACTTTGCACTGTATTTTCGTATGGTATTTATTGTTGTATTCTAGTTTTCCTGGTCTCATTTTATAGAATGGAAGACATATTACAGAAATTGAGATGATTTTGATTGGTTTTACAACGAAAAGTACCTTGAAATTGAGCTCAAAGTAGCAGAAATGTTCGATTTTTACCAAAGTTCAAAATTAAACAAATCATGCTAAGCGTCCAATACACGTCAACTGGCGAGTCTAATATTCTTTCACAAGTGTGG